GGCACTTGGTACTAGAAGCGATGCACTTGTTTCTACTAGCTTCTTGTTACTACTGGTAAGGCACTAAACCCATGATTAGACTCATAAGACTGCCATAGACTGATTGGCGTATTCAAAAAAAACAACCATGGGTTGAACGGGAGTCTTGCGGCTCATAACTCTCTCCTTCGGACGCCAAAACATGGTCCCAAAGACGCGCGGCTGCTTCTGTGGGCAGCACGTGCAGGAAAATGTCAATAAGCCAGTTCTGTACCTCAAGCACACCAGCTTCACTACATCCACTTGCTCACCGCAACAACATTCAACAACCACATATCGAGAATTACCGAGCAAATGGGAGTGGTGGATACTGCATTTTATGGGATCCCAAGCATTGATGTTTGGTAAACGCAAGAGACATAATTTTTTGAAAGAAGAGATGTATATATTTATGTAAAGATGATTCCAGATGTGACATCTTTCTCTTCTACTCGCTAGTGGCAGAAAGGACTGGAAAACTTTTGGGGGTCCATTTTTCAGTGAATTTGGGCCAAGGTGCAAGCATCGGCAAGTAGTCAATGTCCCCTTCTGCTAGCCTTTCGGCCACTTTGGGACTTTCTTTTCCAATCATCTCACGCAACTTTTCCGCCAAGCCCTGATTGGCAGCAAAAAATTTGTCGCCATCCGAGTGGAAAAGGTTTTCGTCGGCCTGCAGGCTGGGGCGGGCCCCGTCATTTTCGCAACAAGCATCAGGGCCCCACACAAAAAAGATCCGACGATGGACTGTGCCATTTTCCACAAAACATCAAATCTAATGCCACTTCCCCACGACTGTCTCACCCCTCCTGGCGGATCACATGGTCAAAGACCTTCATTGCTGCATTCTCTTCGCCGATTTCTCGGAAACATGTGGCCATCCTCAAGTGGTCCAGCGGCATCCACTATTGTGTCGACACCATATGCTCATCTGGGTATGTTCTTCAACTTGCACAGGATTCGTGGATTCTATGGGATGGAAAAGTGACCAGCTTGCTACCATTTAAATCAGGTAAGTCCTACGCATGACTATACAAAAATGTGCGAAATCAATTACGATTCTGAAGACGTTCCAAGCTTTGTGATCGCCACAGTCCACGTGTTTGCGGTATGGAATCGCCACAAGCTAAGCACGCGGCACATGATTCATCCCCTGCATGTATGTCAGGGTCTCCTCACCCTCAAGCCATTTGATCCTTGGATGAATCAACTCATGTGGCCCAGGTTCGCTGCAGTTGATAAGAAGCAAAGCTCATAGCCAGGGCTTAGCTGAGCCAGGAATGCTCTGGAAGCTGCTGCTAAGATTTGAGAAGCACCACAAAAGGTAATGCTGCTTCTGTGCCCACGTCTCTAGGGCATCGATTATGTCCCCAGACGATATGAAAATATCATCAAACGATGACAAAGAACGGATTCCTTTGAAGAAATGGATTCCTTGTAGATCCTTGTAGAACTTCTTTCGTCTCGAGATGGCCTTCTTCACAAATAAAACAAGTACTTAGATCTCTAGCGGATCCATGTAAAACCCTTGCTGGCGACATACCGGCATCTAAGATGGCACACAAAACTTGAACATGTGCGCTAAATCTTTCCCAACATCTTTCACATATATACAAAGAACGCTACTAGGAACAAGGGCATCGCTACTAGGAGCAAGGGCCTTACTAGTAACAAGAAGCTAATACAAATAAGAAGCCTTAAGGCTTCAAAGAAGCTTACAGGATCGATCCTTAAAGATTGTTTGGTTTGAAGCCCTATGTACATGTATGAGATCACAGCGTGTGTGTTTAATTCTAATTACTAATTCTTGTTTCTACTAGCTTCTTGTTCCTAGTAGCGATGCACTTGTTCCTAGTAGCTTCTACTAATGTACATGTATGTGTGCATGTGTGCAAAACAAAATGATGATGTCGCATCTCTTCATCCATTGTTCTTTCCACACTCTGAGCTGGTGTTGATGGTGTGCCGCTTATTGGTTTATTGGTTTCCCCAAGGAGGATTGACTCGGCTCCTCTGGTACTCCTGGTTGATCCCTACAGGCCCTACCACGCCCTACCCATATCTCCAATGACCAGGTCATTGTGGGTCCTCAGCATCCATCGACCAGGTCCACAATGGGTCCAAGTGTCATCAAATTGGTCACCTGCTGTCGCCTGTGTACCACTTCATTCTCCGGAGCCTGGTGGCCAAACAACATCTTAGAGTATGTCCTGCCAAGGCTGCTGCTGATGCTGAGCTCGTGCTGAGCTCATTCATGCTCCTAAGTGCTCCTAAGGTCGTTTCTATGTGTTTGTGTCGGTGTCAAGCTGGCAGAAGGATTGCACTTGTCAAAGCCAAATCAAATGAATCTCCAAACCAACATCAACTAACTGTCTGATGTCTTGGTTGTCTGTCGCAACAGTCCTGGCCATATCCATGTCCACTTGGCGGTGGATTTCTTCTGAAACCACTTGGTTCTTCGCAACAACCGCATCCGGCCTGCATTTGCAATGTGAGTAGCCAAAGATGTGCCCAAACTCCGAAACTTTGCCCTCTTACTATTTGGGCAAAGCCGCCCAAACTGCCACACCTTACCAAGTAGCAAGCAACACGTGAGGGTAGATGGAAAATGTCATGTCTGTGCATGACGTGCCCGAACCTCTCAAACTTCTTTGAGGCCACGGCAGCGGCAAGCCACTGGTCAGCTCGCGCTGCACCCGTCATTGTGAGGCACTTGTTGTGTGAGACGTCAAGGTTGTCTCAACGTGGAACCGACTGCAGCCAAAGTTTTGCCAGCGGTAGAACCACACAGATTATCCGCGAAGCCATATGAAAGCCTAGAACACACATGACAGGATCATAAAAGCCGTGACAAGTTGTTTCTTTCGGCAACAGAATTGCTGCATTGCTTAGACTCCAATTGGACCTCCATTGAAACACGGCCGTTGCCATCCGTTGCCCACAGCCTGGCTCACCAATCGATCTTGGAGCCTTGGGAAATCCAAGCATTGCATTGCGCAGCGGTGGAAAAACACAGCGACAGTACCAGTTGCAGTGTCAAGGGCAAAGTAAGATGCAAACATTCTGGAACACAGCTTCCAAAGAAGGAAGAAACTATTAGTAACAAGTGCATCGCTACTAGCAAAAAGTGCCTTACTAGTAGGAACAAGAAGCTAGTAGAAACAAGTGCATCGGAAGGAAGACAATATTCAAACAGAAAACATTTCTGTTGGTTGACCGTTGAACACAAGACATGGTCTGGCCACTCCTACAGTCAACAGCCCTTTGAGCATCGCACATTGGCCGAACAGGGCCGCGTTTCTGCACCTTTTCCGCCTGGCACCTGGCGCTCCTACTACAAGTTGTTCAAAAAGAATGTCAATGTAGAGCTGCAGAGCCTTACCTTCCGTAGCAAAATGAAAAGAACAAATATCATGGAAAAGGACCCCGTCCTGTCCCTGTTCCCACTTGTGGCCCAGAGGGGTGGCGAAAGGCTAGGCAAAGAAACAACGCTGCGGCTCTTTAGGCAGCAAAAGCCTGGCCGGGAATCGCAACATGCCATGGCCAAGGGAAAAGGAGAGTGCCAACAGCGCCCCCCCAATACGACCCCAGCCAACACATGGCAACACACAACCACCCCAGCAACCGCAGCAGCAGCAGCAGCAGGAGTAGCTAGCAAGCAGCAGCAGCAACAGCCACAACAACAGTAACTGTAACCAGCAGCGGCAGCGGCAGCAAGCAGAAGCTACCAAGCAGCAGCAGGAGTAGCTAGCAAGCAGCAGCAGCAGCAGCAGCTACCAAGCAGCAGCAGCAGCAGCAGCTACCAAGCAACAGCAGCATCAGCTACCAAGTAGCAGCAGCAGCAGCCGCGGCAGCAGCAGCAGCAGGAGCAGCAGAGCAGCAGCAGCAGAAGCTACCAAGCAGCACCACCAGCTACCAAGCAGCAGCAGCAGCAGCAGGAGCAGCAGAGCAGCAGCAGCAGCAGCAGCAGCAGCAGAAGCTACCAAGCAGCACCACCAGCTACCAAGCAGCAGCAGCAGCAGCAGCAGGGAAAGAGTGAGCTTTCCTTAGAGTCTTTCGTGCCCCAACATTTGGTCTCGAACAATAGCGCATATAGGTGCTGCCTCAGTAATTGTAGAAGGGCGACGTGGAAAGACAGATATATCTGATATATCTGTTTTTCCACGAATAAATGCTGACGATGCAGCCAGCAGCGGTGTGCATGATTGACATCTAGGGGTTGCGTGCGAACATGTGTCAGCGACCGAAGATTCCGTCGCAACACTTGTGCATGCTCCCTGTCGCTCGAACATGCAACGCGGACTACCATGAGTGAAGCAAACAGCCCGTTCAGACATCTTACTGGGTTCTGTCATTCATGTGTGCGTGTAGAAAGTATCATCTTTTGATCTGCATGGATAGCGGATAGTGCATTCTGATTTGTACTCTTGGGGGTTGTGGGGTGGGTACATGCCTGTACAAGCTTCTTAAGGATATAATGAAATTAGCATCGTTTCACGACTTAGAGGGAAGGCAACTACTTTCAATTCTAAGGAATAGGCTTTCTTCAGCACCAACAGCAGCCAACAACCCCAAACAGCAACAGCAGCAAAACGGAGCAGACAACAAGCAGCAGGCAGCTAGCGTCAAGCAGCAGCAGCAGGTACCAAGGAGGAGAAGGGTGGAGTTGAACCCCGCGAAGGGGGGGGGTGTAGTCCTGATATATCAGGTAATAGCACTCAGGTCCTGGGCTCCCACCCTCCTTGCTAAAGCAAGACAGACTCCAGCTAGCTACAGCTAGCTTTCGTGAAAACCTGGGTCAGGATGTTTTGCAGCGCTGCATCACTAATCTCCAGGGCAGCATTTTGCAAGGTGTCCTCAACTTCCGATAAATACTTGACTTTCACCCAGGTTGCTCTAGTATATCAACCCCACTGACTTTCTTTCAGTACCAGCATAAATCACTAATCACTGGCCTGAAGCGCAACTTGATTGAATTCGGTGTAGGACAAACAAAAAGGAGCCAAAACACAAGGTCACAACAAGGTCACAAGCCACCAGCAGACCGTCATTGCTTAAGTCATGGTCTCCCGACTTGTGTGTGTGTGACGAGCCAGACCACAGACAAGTCTGAGAGACATTGAGAGCAAGTTCGGGACAAACAGAAGAGAGGAGCGAAACGATGGAGAAGTCGAAGACAAATCAGGAACTGTCCGTCACACGGCACACGGAAACCAAGCATTGCACCAGCAAGGCACCAGAAGACAAAGAGCAAGTGGTAGACAAATGAGAGACAGTCAGCAACAAAACAGGAATGGTCCATCGCAAGGACTAAAACACCAGAGAACCCAGAGATGCGAGACAAAGCAGAAATCATCCATCACAAGGCAAAACCAAAGACATTGGAAGAACAATTGCAATCCAAGTATTAAGGACGGCTTCCCCCCATCTCTGTGGTGCCCATGTCCTCCACCTTTAGGTGCTTTCCGTATGTTGCGCCTGCTGCTTGCTTGCCTCCAGGCTGGTCCCGGCTGCTCACATCGATCACCGTGAATCACTCTTTGTAATCATAGTACAGTATATACACTTCTTAGAACTATCATGGAAGCCTCAGACGAGATTTTTTCTACGTCCATGTTGAAAACGGTGCGAACGAGCAGCTTGCACTTCCATGTCAGCTCTGCGCTGTAGTGAAGATTGGAAAATGCAATAGACCTATTGTCAAGGGTCACAAGTTCTTACTAATACCTCTGGGCCCAAAAACTGCTGAGATGGAAGCCCGCGCAATTGCATATGAAGCTGAGCGCCACTTCCATGTTAACTGAAGCTGTAAGTCTTGCTATGCAACATGGGTCTTTTGCAAAACTGGTTTCTGCTCCAAAAAAAGGTTTACATAGAAGCTTGTAGGTTTTGCCAAATTAATAAGAACACATCGGCCACTTCCATGTTCGCTTTTGCATTGCAGCATTTGGGCTCTTGCCAAAAAATGGCTTCTACTCCAATTCGTGGTGGGCAAGGAGGCCCCGACGAGGACAACAAGGCTTTTAGCTCTCAACCTTCTTTCTTTTTTACCTCTTTCCCTCTCAACCTTTTACAGGCGAAGCATTCCAACCTTGCACAAAAGCTGGTATTGCTACTGTGCCACCTCCGCAGGACATTCCAACCACACCTCGAACTCGCCTTTCCAGAAAGACTCCATGTCAGAATGTTGCATCTAGGTTTGACATGGAAAGCAGTTGTGTGCAGCGGCCAGGTTTGACGTTTGACAATCGATTCGGTGCTATGGTTCCAAGTTTCATAGTTGGAGGGGGGTGCCAAGGAGCCTCGTTGTCCGTCCGGCTTTGGGGTGCTGGACAATGGCGCACATTACATTTGTGGCTGGCCTTCTCACAAGCATCAACCAGATATGTGGAAGGCTGAATCTCAGTCCATAGTTCAAGCTTCCTCTTGGGCAAAAACAGTCTCCTGGTTTGTGTTATCTTATCTCTACAAATTTCACGATACCTTCCACAACAAAGGCTTTGAACATCGCGCAGAAGGAAGCCGCCACGTTCATGGGCAAGCTCTGTCATACAACGTCACACTTTTCGGGGTCGCTTGGTGACGGAACCAGTGCAGGTAAGTGCAGGTTGCAGGTTGTATTTTTTCATGTAGACACGACGCATGTGAGACTTGCAAGACTTTGCTGAGATTGGATACATGCTCAAGGGCAGCAAGCATATTGCAGGGCTTGGGAATGGAGTGCTCCTTCAAATTTGTCACTTGGGTGCAAGCACAAAATGTAAATGTGGAAGTGACCAACATCGGGTAAATGTAAAGTTAGGTAGTCTCGAATCACCACTGTGAACTTCCATGTTTACATGTAGCTGGGAGGTGCCATGTTGTAGCTGTCTTGGCCCACGTGTTTTTTCATTGCCGTTTGTAGTTTGATTGGGTAGTTCGGACACCATGCTTGGCACAGAGGCCACACTGTCATGGCTTTTTGCTGTTGGGTAGCAGCGTGGCCGTCGGTGGTTTGAGAAGCAGGAGCCAGAGGGAAGACCAAAACCACCAGCAGGGCTTGTTGAAGTTATCTACGAGGATCCATTCTCACCTCCACCAATGCTGACGCGTCTTTCTGCGCTATTGCCAGAAGTGTTCTCCTCGCCATCGCCACCACCTCGATTTCGGGCACGACATGTTCTGGACTCTCCATCTTCACCGTTAGAGATGTCAAGTCCAGGTGGCAGGCACGTCAGATATGTGTATGAGAAAGTACCTTGCCGACGTCTTCGTGGCAAAACGCGGGATTATGCTGAGGATGACGGTTCTGAGTCTGAGTAGCGCAAAAAAGCACATGTAAACAAGTGGCCAAGATTGGGACAGTCATGGCCCTGCATGCGCAATTGTATAAGATGGGCGGAAGCGACGAAAGTATAGCAAACATAGAACAAATGTGCTGGCCATCCATGTTGCTGGGAATATTGCCCTCCACGCTTTGATTCTCAAGGACTCATGGGGGCAGCGGCCTGCTGTTGACTTCCAGGTTTGCCTAAGACTCCCTGGAATAATCATGGAAGTGGACAACCACTAGTTTGTACAGAAGAATGTCATCCAAGGGGCCATGGTTCACTTCCATGCTGATTCCAGGGGAGTCCCTACCTGTTTGTTCCAGGGAGTGTAAGGAATCTTTTGCTAAACATGCCTCAAAAGTTGAAGTGTTTTAGTAAGATTCAGCGGAGAGACCAAACATTGACTCTTGCCCAGAAGACCAGGTTTTGTGTTGGTCGGTGTTCATCTTGGCACCCACAGA